TATATATATATGTGTGTGTGAGTGTGTGTATGTAAGCTTTTTCACGTTTAAATACACTTAATCACTCGAGGAACAAATTAATGTGGATTATTATTCGTTTAAGCACAAGCATTGAGTTATTCCTTTCAAACTGATAATTAAATTGATTATCTTAAATCTTCTTTTTTTATCTTTCAATAAATGAATTATCAAATTTTCGAACACCTCATCATTTATCTGTTAGATTCGATTATTTCGATAATGAAGATATTCTTTTCTCTCTCTCTCTCTTTTTTTTTCACTTAGGAAACTTCGGACTCGACTATTTTTCAATCAGATATTCTGCATTTGGAATACTTAAAGGACAAACGGTATTAACGTTTCAAGTGGATTGAGTAGAAAAAGTGATAAATTTAAGATTTTATGAGATTATATTTCCAGGACGATTTCGTTATTACTCTTTTCTTTCGTTTTCTTGTTTTCTTCTTCTTCTTCTTCTTCTTTTAGTTTTCTATGGTTGAAACCACCATAAGCCAACGTAGACGCAGTAGCCTTTTACGTTACTGCAAACCAAGTCGTTAGATTTTTATGACCACGGGACGCGAGAGAACGCGAAATGGCGAATGGAAATTGAGATTCGTTGAAAAATATTATACGGTTTGTTTTATCCTGGAAAAATACTGACTTGGATATACTGAAAAATGATGACTTTGATGATTATTCAAACTTCTTTTCTTATTTTTCTTCGAATATACTCGATTCACTCTTTTTTTTTTTTGTGACGTTGATCGTCACCGAAAAAGTTGACGAATGATTTGAATGATTTCAATCTTCTTTTCTGTTTCTTCGTTTTTTTCTTTTTCTTTTTCTATATCAACTTGACGATGATTAGATTTTATAATTTGTTTTCGTTGATTGAATGAACTGTTGAGAAGAAAAAAAAGAAAAAGAAAAAAGAAAAACAAAAAAGAATTTAATTCGAATTACTTTCGGGAAAAGGAACCAACGTATCTAAATTTATTCGATAACTTGTCTTCTCTCTCGAACTTATTTCTGTTTATTTTCTTCTTTCTTTTATTTTATTTTGTTCAAATCGATTGATCAATCCGAAAGAAGAAAATTCCTTCCTCGAGGGAATTGATTTGTATTGAACCTTTCCTTCAAGAAAATAGAATCAAAAATAATCGGAGATTTTTTTTTTTTTACATTTGTCGTATAACCTAATCTGACGATCTTTCAATGTTTAACATTTAAGAATAAAAATAATTTTAATAAAAAAAAAATTAAAAAAAATTGTAATCCTTTCGATTATCGAAATATTCAGGGGGAAAAAAAACAACAACCAAAATTAAGGTTGTTCTCCTAACGTTGTGTTAGTTTATCCTCTTCCTTTACTTTTTTTTCTTTATCACGTCCGTTTGAGATCCTACGATCGATACTCCTTCGTGACGACCTTCCAAAGTCGAGGGTGAACCACCCCCATCGCGCCATTAAGCTTCTATATCGTCGTGGTGATTCCAGGAAGCAGCGGGTACCTCTCTTCTTCTGATTTTATCACTTTGTACACGTCAGCTTGAATTTTTTTTCTACCAACATCTTTTCCTATCACATATTACATATTACGTATACACATACACACACATACACACGCTTTGTATATATTATCTCTGTTCCTTTTTTCTTCTTCTCTTCTTCTTTTTCTTCTTCTTTTTTTGTCACTATTTTATTTTTATATTTCTTTTTGTATTTTTTAAAACTGAAAATATCCTTTTATCGAAGATCCACTGTTCAGGATTTCAAGAATATCTTTGAAATATTACTTGATGCAGTTAAGTAAATGTATTTTTTGTAAACACGCGAAACGTGTGTTCTTCTTTGGTGCTGCCATTACTGAAACAGAAAAATAATTTCAATTTGTTAGATAAAATAATAGTGAAATTTAATTATTATTTGATTTATTTATTATTATTTTATGTTCATTAATATATAATAGGAAAGAGAATCGTCCCAAATATGTGTAATAGTTTGTGGTATTATTTAAATAATTATAATGTAAAAATTTATAATATAATTGTATTTTTTAAAAGCCTTATTTTCACAGGAAACTTATAAAAATATTTTATATAAATTAAATTTATCGTTTATAAATAATAATTTAATATTATTTAACATTAATCATAGAAGATATGTTCAATCTATTTATAATAAATATTATATACTATAAAAAAATGTATTTTATTTTATTTATATAATATACATTATAAAAATATTGTATATAAAATTATTTAATAATTTAATAAAATTTAAATATAAATATTATCTAATATATAGTATAAAAGAGTATTATTATAAATTAGCAAACACATCTAAATATTACAATAATGTTTTCTAAAAAAATATATTATATATTTATATAATAATTGAATATTTATAATTTAATAAAATTTATAAATATAAATTATATAATATACATTAGAAAAAAATATTAATATAAATATAACCAAAAACATCTAAATATTACAATAATTGTTTCTAAATAATATGCATTGCAAAATATAAAATCATCTTGACACCTTATAAAAATTAAATATGAATGAACAATTCGTAATAATAATTAACAATACACAAATTATAAAAATAATTTAACGAACATAATTTCATATTAAAATTTTCTTTTATTAAACGTTGTACAACAAGCTTGTAATTAATGTAAAACAAGTTAGTTCATTTAACTAATAGAATAATTAAATCCTATATACATAAAAAAAAAGAAAAAAAGAAAAAAAGAAAAAAAGAAAAAAAGAAAAATAGAATCTTAAGTGTAAGATTTTTTTCTGAAAGCCCCAGAGTAAAATTCTTAGATGAATGTAATATAGGTCACGATATAACGATGAAATTTCATTATTGTTACGAGCCGGTTTATAATGGAAATATATCTTCGAAATACGTAGCTACGGACTTGGCTACACCACGAAAGAACGATATTGAAAAGCATTTGGCGATACGTCCATGATCTATCGTGTGACGCAATACGCTGTGCTTTCTTTTAAAGGATCGCTTCCGGCCGTTAAAACCAGTAAAAAGGTTTATATCTCATGGAAAAGGACGATATTTCCGAGTGAACTATTTCTATAACGTTTATACGATTTTTCTTTATACATTTATACTATTATTTTTCAATTTAAATCAATATTACATTTTTCTTCTTTTTTTTTTTTTTTTCATTTATATATTTTTAACACCGTACAATAATAAAATTAAATCGAAAAATTTCTATCCAATAATTTTGATCGTATAAACTACTCAAGTTTCAAAGTTTTGTTTCTTATTTATTTTTAAGGATTTATAATTTATTTTTAAATTTTTTAAGGTTATTACATTGTAAAAGTAACATATATATATAATATAATAATATAATAATAATGATAAAATAATAATAATAGATAAGAAACATTGTAATCAAATATAAAACACAAAATTTTCAATATGGCGTATCATTTCAATCTAGATGGCGCCCCTATTGATTTAGATCCTACATTTCGTCGATATAAAACATCATCTTAAACATCTTCTTGTATCAATCAGTATCTTTTAATAATAATCTCAAATATATTAATAAATAATTTCTTCTAAGATGCACAAATACACCTATAACGTGATTTATACTTAAAAACAATTAATAATACTAATAATAATAGTTAAAACATAAAATTTTCAATATGGCGTATCATTTCAATCTAGATGGCGCCCCTATTGATTTAGATCCTACATTTCGTCGATATGAAACATCGTCTTAAACATCTTCTTGTATCAATCAGCATCTTTTATAAATAATCTCAAATATATTAATAAATAATTTCTTCTAAGATGCACAAACACACCTATAACGTGATTTATACTTAAAAACAATTAATAATACTAATAATAATGGTTAATATCGTGAAAGCCTTTTAAGGTATTCAGTTTAATGTGAAATTATATTGAAAAGCATCCCCAATTCCTAGATTATAACAAACGTAATAGGAATATCGATAACATCATAGGAATGAGATCTCGAAATTGGAGAAACGGAATCCAATGTAATTTGTAATTAATCCGTAACCATACAAATACACATGTAAATATACAAACATATAATATCCCTTTAGGAATCCATATGTTTGAACAGGAAGAGAACATATTCGAGATAATCAATGTTTCATCTTCTTAATGTACGAAAAAATCTATCTTTTGAACTATCCAACTAAAGCAACAAGATATTGAGAGAGTACGTTTCACTCGAGTTGATTCGAAAAAGTTTCGACGAACTACGATTGTTTCTCTTTTCTCTCACCCCCATCTCATCCCACTCCATTCCATCCACCCTCACCCCAACCTTCTTCTCTTAACTTCACTACCCTAGCTGCCTCTTTTTCAATCCCTTAGCCTACATCACTATTTTTGTAACTCCGTTCTACGGTCCAGCACTTTATGGAGAAACTATTTCTAACCCCGTTCCACGTTGCTCAGACAGACATTGTATTTTTATCGAGAATAAGCAGATGAATCGTCGTAAAGTAAGTAAGAGTGCAAAAGGTCAAGATACTTTTCTTTCCACTATCTTCATATTTTTCTTCAAGTTTTTTTCCTTTTTTTCCCCCCCCTTATATCTGACCAACATCTATGTCAATGATTTTTCATAATATTTATTTCAATTAACTACTCATATTCAATTATTTGTATTGTTTAATGTAATTTTTACGGATGAACTTTTGATCTTTTGCTAAAATTACATGATCAAGGGAATATAAGTTTTTTTATAATTAAATTGAATTATTGGTTATTAAATTTAATCAGAAAAGTGTTACAGATGCTAATTGTTTTTTCTTTCTTTCTTTCTTTTAAGTGGTATTTCTGTTTTCACTTGCCAATAAATTATTTTAAAATAATTAGTCGATTATTGGTAAACGATAGAGTCGTTTTCAATTTGATTAATGAATTTCTCATCACCTTTTTAATATAAATAAAAGATATAATATTATTTAATGTATTTTAAACTTCAGTCTAATTAATCTCTTGAAAAGCTGTATTAATTTTCTCTCAATCGTATAAAACTCACAATCAGCAAATATAACCTAAATTACAAAAAAAAAAAAAAAAAAAAAAAACCTTTTAAGATAACTTAACCTATTTAACGTAGATAATTAAAATACGATATAAGTGGAAACAACAATAATAATAATAATAATAATAATAATAATAATAACAAAATGTATGTAATATGATTAATAAATAATAACCTAAATTATAAAAATAAAAAAGCTTGTTAAGGTAAGGTAAAAAAGAACTTTTTGATATAACTTAACCTATTTAACGTAGAAAAAACAAAATACGATATAATGTTAAATAATAAATAGTAATAACAAAATTGATGTTATATGATTAAAACATAATGATTTATCGTTCTAGAATAGATAATAATGAGGTAAGACGATAGCATCCTTCATTGTCGTAGAAAAGCAAGGAATAATTTAGAGATGGTAAAATTTCGTGCTCGTTGCTAAACGGATGATCAAGTTTCTACAGCAAAGTATAATCCCTGTAGCTAAGCTATTACACGTTTTCATTCTCTTCTGAAGTCCTTTCTTGTGAAAGAGAAAACAAAAGAGACGTTGTTCTTGAAAGAAGCTCGTGAAAACAGAGAAAACCTCGAGAACGAAACAAGGAAAGAGAAAATGGAAAAGGTACGTAGGTTTGTTTGTTTGCTTGCTTGCTTATAAGGACTTTCAAGTTTTCATAGTAATTTAAGAAATTATGCCACAAAGCTTTCATTCTTGGTTAAAGAAGATTGAACAAGGTCATCTGTAACAAAACGTTTCACTAACTAGTTTTTATTTTAACCTATTCTTTAAGTGTTAATTGCTTTTTCTTTTTAACTCGACAAACGTGAGCATACTTTTACGCGAGTACTTTTTTTTCTTCTTTTTATGTGTTTTTTTTTTTTTCCAAAATTAATTACTATTCTTTTAAAATTACTTTCTGTTAGTTTTGGAAAAACAGAAAATCAATTTCTAGGTCAGTAGATATGTAAAAAATAATTAATGTCAAATATTTTGAAAGAATGTAAATTAATTTGATAAAATGTAGATTTTTGATTCATTCATTTGGGTTATTAAAAATTTATTATAAAATACTTTTAAATTATTACTTTCTGTTAGTTTTAGAAAAAAAACAAACAAACAAAAAACTAATTTCTAGGTTAGCAGATATGTAAAAAAAAATATTTTGAAAGAATGTCAATTAATTTTACAAATTGTTTAAAGATTTTTGTGATTCTATTCATTTGGATTATTAAAAATTTATTATAAAATACTTTGTGATATCGTATTATGATTTTTAAATTTTTCGATGAAAATATTTTTGAATTGTTTTCTATTATACAGGAAAAAGATATTTCGTTGAAAAAAACTCGAAGAAGATGGATTAGAAAGGGGTGAAAAATCGGTAAGAGAAACGTTTTATCAAGTTTCCCCTTTTTTATTTTCTAAAGAATTTTTTTTTTTTTCTTCGCTACTCGCGCTACTCACTTGGTTCCTTTTATTTTCATTTTCTTTTTATTTTTCTCGAACGAAACGATCCGTAGCCTTTCCGTAGAAGAGAAGCGTCGTACTTTTTTAGTCAGAGTTTGATCCGAATAAAACAAGTGCAACGATCTTGAAGTAAAAATTCTTAAAAGAAAAAGAGAGAGAAAGAGAGAGAAAGAGAGAGAGAGAGAGAGAGAGAATTGTTAGGAGTTGCTTTACGAAGAAGAAAAAGAAGAAAAGCGCTAGTAACGGTGGTTAAACTAAGCAAAGAAAACTCTTGTCTAGGTTTATTCCAACACTTTTTGTTTACTCGAGAAATCGAACTTA